GACATTTAAAAGGCAGCTGGATGGGTATATGAATAGGAAGGGTTTAGAGGGATATGAGCCAAATGGTGGCAAATAGGACTAGATTTATTTAGAATATCTGGATGGCATGGACGAGTTAGACCAAAGGATCTGTTTCTGTGCTGTACATCTCTATGACTATATTCTGCAACAACCACAATCATCTTCCTTTGCACGAGGTATAATTCCAATCGGTGGAGAATGCTAACACCCCTCCCCAACATGTAACTTCCCAGCAGATACCCACTGACTCCAGTTTTGCTAGGTCTCCTTGATGCCCAATTCAGTCAAATGCTGTCATGATGTCAGAGCAGTCACTCTCAGCTACCCTTGTGAATTCAGCTCTTTTGTTCCTATCTGGACCAACGCTGTAATGAAGTCAGGGGCTGAGTGGCCCTGGTGGAACTTAAACTGAGCATCAGCTTGCAGCTTATTGTTGTGTCAGTGCCATCTAATACTACTGTCGATGACACCTCCCATCATACTGTTGATGAAAGATTAGATTGAGAGCGAACTTAGTGGCTGGGTTGGATTTGTCCTGCTTTTTGTGCACTGGACTGGACATACCTGGGCAATTTCCACTTTGTTAGGTAGATGCCAGTGTTATCACTGTATTGGAACAGGTTCACAAGGGATTTGGCTAATTTCCCAGTACCATTGCTGGAGTGTTGCCAAGGCCCATAGACAAATGCAAAAGGTTTGTGCAAGTATTACTCGGGTATTTCTCAAAGGTTCAGAGATTGTACTGTTGCACAGGTCTCATACATCTCTGATGAAAGAATATGGAAAATAAGTTCCAACCAAGGAACAGTGAAACCAGTGTCTTTTTCTTTGGTCAGTTGGCTCAATAGATGTGGATTCATGGTCACTAGTGGGGTCTTAATTCTAGACTTCTATTGAATTCAAATTGCACCATCTGCTGTGGTGGGATTTGAACCCATTCCCCAGAACATTTACTGACTTTCTGGATTAATATTTAAGCAATGATGCCACTAGGCCATTGCCTCCCCCAGATAAATCTTGACTACACCTGCTACAATATTTAGCATATTTAAGCAAAACCTTTGGTGAAACACGTAAACTTTAGAACTTATATTGAGCACCATGGAACAGATCTGAATAATGGAAAGTTCCTTACAGAACTTATCTGTTTACATAAACAATCGTTTTTAATTCCTGGCAAAAGCAACTAAGAAGTTATTGCTGTTACCATTCACAATACATTATAAAATAAAAAATCTGATCGTTATAGTAACTGGTGTATCTTATGATAAACCCTTCAGATACTGTTTACCTTCACTGTTCAATAAAGTGTTCATTCTAGTCATTTTGAATGAAAGGGTGCAGGACCCACAAAATTCTGTGCACATAGTCAGTCTTGCTGTCAATCTGAAAATTCCAGAAATCATACATATTGCTGAATTCTAACAGTTGTTAGTTTGAGACTCTTCAGCTAACAAAGATGGCTCGGCCAACATGTGAGGCTCAGTCCTATCATGCAAACTCTCAAAGAAAATAGCCCAGATATTCCAATTACTGCGGGAACAGATTCAACCAATAGTAATCCTCTTTAAAAATTACCCTTTACCCTTTTAAAGGGACCTGTCAACTATTTTTACACCAAGATTTCAAGTCTTACCAGTCCCAAATGTGAACAGCAGACAAAAACAGGGATACATCAGTGCAGATTAACAATGCAGGTCAAGACATGAACTTTTTCTTATAAATAACACTTGCTGTTGTATTTCAGGAGTTAGAATTTCCAAAGGGATTTTAAACAGTGACTGAGATAATGTAAGTGTGTAAGGAAATTGAGGGATTAGAGTGGCAGCTGGGTAGGTAAGGGGGCAGTATGCCATGTGGATGCTGAGGATAACTCAGGGATACAGCGGGCATTGGCTCTAGCAGGGCCCAACTAAGGCATTTGGTCCAATAGGAACAGGTCAGAGATGTAATTTCATGGGGTGTTAAGGGCCTGAGGTGTGATGATTGTAGGGGAGGGCTCAGTTTAATAGTTGCACCAACAAGTTATAGTAAGTTTTTAGTCCTCTAACATTTCCTGGGAAATAATAAGCCTAAGTGACTCATAGCACTCCAACATTAACGAATGTTTTCAGAGGGTTTCAGACCAGGTAACTGCCCTTTATTTCCAGGGCAATTCCCACAGAATCATCAGGGTTGGATTCCACATGGGACATGCAAGAAATGTACCACAATGATCATGGGTGACTTTAATCGATACAGGAGAGCGAAAGAACCAGGTTGGCAAATGGAACCCAGACAAGTGTTCATTGCCTGAGAAAACTCGATCTCTTTGAGCAGTATATCCTACAGCCAACTAAGCAGCATGTTATTCTCGAACTGATAAGATGCAATGAGACAAGATGGATCAACAACCTCATGTTAAAGGCCCCTTTTAATGACAGAATTTCATGTTCAATATGAAAGGGAGAAATGTGGGTTTGGGGCTAGAGTTTTAAAACTAAATAAAGTTAACTATGAGCATATGAAGGCAGAGCTGGCTATGCTGAACTGGGAAACTAGGACAGCAGAGTTGCTGCGGTAGACTTTAAAGGAGATACTTAATAACTTACAAAGATTTATCCCAATAAGAAAGAAAGGCGCTTTGAGAAGGTTGCATCATCCACAGCTAAATAAAGAAATTAACGTATTACATTTAAAGAAACACTACAAATTTGCAAAGATTACTGGTAGGTCAGAGGATTGGACAGACATTATCACCAGCAAAGAATGGCTACAAAGATGATAAAGGACAGAAAGCAGAGTATGAGAGAAAGCTAATAATATAAAATAGTAAGTGCTTTTTAACGAATACTCATACAGAGAAAGAAGAACTAAAGCTAGTGTTGGTCCTGCATAGAACGTCTGTGGAATCGACAATGGAAAACAAATAGATGACAGAAGCTTTGAAAAGTGATTTTATGTCTGTTATAGGTTCCAAAGGCATTTTAACAGTCACTGAGATAGTGAGGTTGTTGGCTTGCTCGTCGAGCTGGCTTTAGTCATTTTAGTCACTGAGATAATGTAAGTGTTAAAGGAAATTGAGGGGTTACGGTGGCAGCTGGGTAGGTAAAGGGGCAGTGTGCTAGGTGAGTGCCAAGGATAACTCAGGAATGCTGTGACATTAGCTCTAGCAGGGCCCAACTAAGGCAGTTGGTCCAGTCGGATCAGTTCAGGGATGTCACTTCGTGGGGTGTTAAGGGTCTGGGGTGTGAGGATTGTAGGGGAGGGTTCAGTTTAATAGTTACACCAACAAGTTATAGTAAGTGGTGCAGGACTCAGAAAACTTCCTAAAGATATTTGACAAATCAAGAGGTGATAGGGAGAGATGAACTTATAACAAACGCTAGAGACAACACTGGATGTATACATTGGTAGCTACATAGATAAATAAATAGATAAACAATATGCACAAAGAGCTCCAGGTAAGTGCATTGTTGGGCAATCCCCTTTAAAACCAAATATTAGGGATTGATGTTTCACAGATTGACTGTATGGGTTTGCTAAAGTGCCTTCTCCCATCAATTTTTCCTTTCAATGTCTATTTTACTCGTGAACACATTTTGCCTACTCATTTTCCTGGTTTGCTGCTGAAGTGAATTTGGAAGAAAACACAACAGAATGTGACTTTCAGCAGTGGTATGCAGAAGCACAATGGCTACTCATTATAAACGTACCTAACTGTTCTGTCCATTAGCTTCAATGAATTGTGGGTAGCTGATCCATTGTCGCCCAAATTCTGGCACTTATAAAAGTCCAGACTCACTTTAGTTCTTTTGTCCATTTTGCTTAAAAGTCTCAATGATTATTTTTCCAACACAGTTAAAGCACAGAAGCAAGAAGGCAGTGGCGTAGTAGATGCCGCTTGTGGGCTCCTCAGCCCAGGAGCCTGTAGCTTGTGTATTCTGTCTGATTTTTACTTTCTTTTATTTCTCTAGTTTTTCTTAATGTTTCCATTTATTATCTTACCTTCTTTAACTTCTTCAGTGGAAGGTGTCTCCTCCTGGACCCCTGTGGAAAGGAGGCTTCCCACCATGCGTGGGGGACTCAGCCGGCACAGCGGGCTCCCACGGTAGCGGCCTCATCCAGGAGGGGTGGTCATGACAGGCACGGTGGGCTCCTGTTGTGACGGCCTTGTCTCAGAGGGGTGGTCTTGGCTTGGCATGGCAGTCTCTAGGTTTGGTGGTCTTGTCCTGGAGTGAAGGTCTTGTTGGTTTGGAAGTCTTCTTCAGTAGCAGCTTCCAGGTATGCCAGTGGCCCCCATGTGATGTTCTGGTTCAGTCCCGGTGTGGGGGTCTTGACCCAGTGTGTGGTGTGGAGGTCTAGTTCCAGCATGGAGGTTTTGTATTTCAACCTGGAGCAGCGGTCTCCTGCTGTGGGGGCTTTGTCCTGGGGAGTGGGAGGGTGGGGGGGCAGTCTTGGCTTGGCTTGCTGTGGTGGTCCTCAGGTTTGGTGATCTTGTGGAGGTAGTGGTTTCCAGGAATTCCAACGTTAGTCATCTTCATTGAAACTTTCTCCCAAACTGAAACTAATCTGAGATGAAATCTGCCTTAATTTTTACTTTTGTCATCTTATCTATGACTTCTGTCATTCATACAGGCACTGAGGTATGGCGACTTATAAAACATTTCACTGTGGCCATGTCCATTGCAAGAGGTGTTCAGGAAATATGCTCAATATACTTTAGCAGAGATAAGGCTAGTTTCCTCACCATCTTATCTCTGCCTCTAGTCATCCCATCACAAAAGGAAGGAAAAATGAGGTGGTGTGTCAGTGTCACTTTTGGACTGATCAGTTCCCTGTCTTAAGTGAACTCCTGGTAAAGTGGGGTTGCATCATTAACTTGGTGGTAGCTCTGATTCATGCTATTATCAAGTTGACAAAAAAGAAAGACATGTACAACCTCTAAATCATCACCAGCAACACTGTAAACCAGAAGGAAAAGCCAGATCTTTTCTTACCTTACAATTCTGGCACATGCCTCCAATAAACAGAGGGTGCTCGAGAGAAATATGTTGACTTCCACAGGCAAGGCAGATATCTGCAAACAGTGAAAAAAAAAATTAGCTTACATGAAACTTATGATTGCTGTACTTTGTTTTATTTTATTTTGAATTACGACAGGCAAAATCTCAAAATTTTATCAAAATCTCAATCTTACCTTCAATGTTTCTGCTATTTTGTCTCACATCATAGACTAGCCTCTCTGAAAAACAAAACACATGAAAAAAACCTATGGTTGATGATTCAAATTACGTTTTTCAATGTTGTTGCTATAGAATTGAATACTGACGTGCTGTGCTTAAATCATTTCCTCACTGCCAATTAGATATTCGATGACCAGTGTTAAACATTACAGCCTAGATTCTCACTGGCCTCAGTCCAATTGGTAGGAGGGCAGAATGCCTAGATGTCATGTAAATTACACACTTTGCTTTTAGAAATTCTAAGGTAAAACCTAACTTAAATAATCAGGATGAGTACCAGGCATCAGGAATTCCACCGATTGTGAACTTGTCCATTGGAGGATGTGAACTCCTGAGGATTTAAAGGCATGCAGCAGTTCCTGGGGCTGGTATCCAGGCAAACTAATTGAAAGAAAAGAGCAGAAAAGTCTGTTGGCAGTAATACCTGTGAGGGCTGCAGAAGCGCAGAGAATCCCCCAGGTTCACCAATGTAGCTGGAGAGGTGTTTCTGAACCAAAGCAAGCTGAAGATGAGATTTTGGAAAAGAATGATGTGGATAGCCAACGCAACCAGATTATGGACGGTGAGAGGGAGTGACTGGGGTAGTAAGTGTCAATGCAAACACTCGGGCACCGGAGAATGTGGTATCGGTGTTGTGGCTAGGAATTTTGTTAACGGATTCTCCCATTTCTCCACTATAATTTCAACAAAACACTAAGGTCACCTTCGTGGTGTCCGCTCCACATGTGACAATACCTGCTGCCACTTCAGTGTACTGTCCTTACTGCTCCTGCTACTCTTGATGCAGCTCTGTCTGTCCACATGGAGCTCTCATTTCTCCTACAGCAACTCTCCTCACTCACTCAGTCTTTCTCTCAAGGCAAAGGTTAAATTGAGCCACAATTTTTCAAGCGATCACTCTGCCATAAAATGTGCTTGAATCTGTAGATCCTTCCATATCACTTGAATAAGAACTTCAGCAGGACTACCCACTGAGTTTTTCTGAAGCTGCATAGTTCTTTAAATCAGAATTTTATTTTGCAGTTTTAGCCTGAACTGTCTCGGATTACTGGGTGGTCCCACCCTCAGTCCTACTCACGTTTCAGTTGTCTGTTTGGATTCCAATTTGCACAGAGCTATTAGGCTACTGTAGCCTTCAGTTAGCCTCCCAAACTGCCAAGCAGAGGATGATGGCAGTGGAAATGAGCAACAATTGATGGAAGGTTTGAAAATTCACCTGGAACCTAATTTGTCTGTGCATTCTGCAGGCACCTGCACTCAACAGAGCACAAACATACTCACAAATGACAGAGGCAATTTGCTCCACTAACTACCACATCAGAATGTCTCTGTACTACCCAATTTCGTCTATTTAATTTCAATTTTGCCCTCTACTTGTCCACCTGAAATCCATTCTAAGTGATAATTATTCTTTACACAAAGTTGAGCTTCCAAATAGTCTGAACTCATTTATGCATTTTAAATTAAGTCGTAATTTGAGGGAGACAGTGGCATAGTGATGATGTCATTGGACTTGTAATACAGAGGTTAATGCTGTGGGGACATGGGTTCAGATTCCATCATAGCAGCAGTTGGAATTTAAATTCAATTAATAAACCTGGAATTGAAAACTAGTCCCTGGATTGGTGACAAAATTATCATCAATTGTTGTATAGATATTTATGATTCACTCATGTCCTTCAAGGATGGAAGTCTGCTGTCTTTACCTGGTCTGGCCTACACTGGTGTCCAGATCCAAAGCAACAGGCGATTCTGAACTGCCCTCTGAAATGGCCCAGCAAATCAATCAGTTCAAGGGCAATTAGAGATGAGCAACAGATGCTGGCCTGACTAGCAGCACCCATATTCCATGAAGGAATAAAAACGTGTTTCAGATTTATCATTCTCACTCCTATCAACAACAAGCTTAAATGACCCGAAAATGTTTTCTCATGGTTGCCTTCTTTCCAAGCTCAAAGGCTGGAGTTTCTTGTAACTAAGATTTCTGTCACAAGGGATCAGACTACTGGCTATTCTCGCCATAGCCTCCAATGCTTGAATGTTTCTCAGCAATCAAGATGTAATCTGACCAGCGTGTCAATGTCTATTTCCAATGGCCACAAGGTCTACTGTTATCCTATCTCATGGTCTTGTTCCTAAATTATTTTTCAAAGGTTTTGTTTATGTAGTCCATCATTGTATCAACTTTGTTGATTATGGCATTGGTTAAACATGATACGCATTCAGTTAACAAAATATTTAAATGTTATCTCTAGCTATTTACCACCATCACCTCATGTTTCCTTGATGTCTTTGGCAGGTAAAAATCTATCAATCTCAGCTTTAAATTCAACAATTGATTTTGCATCAACTGCTGTTTCAAGAGAACATTTCCAACTTCTGCCACCTTTTGCAATGAAAAAGTATTTCCTAATTTCACTTCTGAAAGGTAGGCTTCTGTTTTTTGACTACATCTCCTGGTCCTCTTATATCAGAAATTCTCCCAAGCTATTTCAACTTTCCCCTTCATATCAACCTTTTAAATTGCAGGGACTATAACCCTGATTTGTTTGATTTCCCTCAAATAATTTAAATTTAAATTAGATTTCATCTGCGTATTTTAAAAATTAATTCTGTTATTTCTAGTCTGGTTCCTTCATTTTTGTTGCCCCTCCCAGTCAGTCTCATCTGAAAATTTGAACAATATTCTCCAGCCCGTAGGGACAGTTTACTCCTTTTGTGAAAGCTGCTATGTTTAGGTCTAGGTGCTTGAATGGAGAGGACTGCTATTGTTTTACTTCAAAGAGATTAGAACTAGAATACTAATAAGTATCATGCGATGCTTTGCTGATCTCATTGGCATAATTTATTCTGCTTTCCAGTGGGTGCAGTGTGCAGTACTATCACAGAGTAGGAACAAGCATGCATTGTGTTGTTGTCTCATAGGAAAGCTATGCAGGTGACCTTTCCAGTCAGACATCTCTAAAGCCTTCATGTGACAGAAAGGCAGCAACCCTAACCTAACCCTAACCCGAGATAACAAGGTGTAGAGCTGGATGAACACAGCAGGCCAAGCAGCATCAGAGGAGCAGAAAGGCTGACGTTTCGGGCCTAGAACCCTAACCCTATCACTTATGCATCACAGAGGTGGTGCAGCCTGCAGCAGATCCACGACAGTACTCAGCTGTCATAAAATGAGAACAATCTTGGTTCCCTAGGGTCTGTTTGATATACAACAACCAGCAACCTTATACACTTCAGTCACTAAGGTAGTTCAAAGTGAGGTTCAAGAGTTTAAACATAAGGCAGCACAAAGCATGAACAACCCTAGTTATTGAGGCTAACCTTGATGTTCCAAAAGCTATCTAGAACATGTCGTTCTGGGTGAATTAGAATTAGTTTGCACATTCCTACATATTGTTAAGGGATTCTGATGTTTCTTGTTGCAATCCACCCAATGATTCTGAAACAAATTCGAACAACTGGTTCATACCTCGAGTTTGTTCATCTATGATTTCTTTGACTTTTAGCTTCTCTGTGCTTCTTCTTGCTTTTTTGGCCGGGGGAGGCGGAGGATAAACAGCAGCTTCAGGCTCCTCCCAACTTTCTGTATAAACCTCTTTGTAAGGATTTCGTTCCTCTGGAAATCAAAGAATATCTTTGTTATTGGATACAGGACTAGCTATGCAAAGACTACAAAAAACAGTACTGTGATTGCTTTGATGACAATCATAACCACTTGGGTCAAATTCAATTCGTGGGCAGCTGTGGTTGTTTTACATCCTGTCCATTTTTGTTTTATGTTGAAGTAACTGGGCAGGGTGTTTATGCCTTTATAGATAGTGAATTTTATCATCCATGTTGTGATAAAAGGTTTAAATCATTTGGAAATTTGCTTCTTAAAAGTAGAAGTAAAAAGATTTTGATTTCAGTTTTGTGAATGTGACTTACTGGTATTTTAATTTTAGAAAATGGTCAGAAAGTAATTTGAAACAATGAGATGAAGACATCAGATCATATGCTTTCTTGGAAATAAGTTAAATGCCTTGATCAGATACCTAGGGAGATAACTGCTGAGTGTTCAAAATGCTGAATTTTATGATCTACACAGAAACAGACTGTCAGTGAACAGAATCAGGTTTCAGTTGAGAAGAGCAGTTTTTTTTTTCTCCTCTGAATAGCAGAAAGGCATTTTAGTTGATAGAAGTTTCATGGCTGTCAGAAAGGAAAAGAATTAGTCAAGTCAGAAATCTTAAAGTTAATATAGGAATGATAATCACAGGGGTTGAGCAACTGGAAAGGATGATTAAAGGGGTTTTTTTTATATTTACATTAAGAACTAATTGTCATATATCTTTTTTTTCATTTGTAACAAAGTTGAGTTCTTTTGTTAATAGAACACTTGCAGCAGCCTGTTGTGAATATGCTCAGAGACTGACCACCATGGTAACCAAACTGCAAAATTAAACTTATGATCTGTCAGGCCAGGTTTCACTCTGAGATGTAAAATGTCCAGCATTATCATAACAATGATCCAGGTCTTTTGAGGGTCAGATAATAGTGTCTGTAGCGTAGATGGGGATTGCACATGGAAACCTGACAGAACCCCCATCAAAGCAGGCTCTGAAGCAACGACCCAGAAAACTGCAGATTCTGCTATACTTGGAATTCTCAAGTATCCATTTAAATCAGAGAATCTGGAACATTCATCTGATATTATGTACATAGCTACTCAGGAAATGTTAGACTATTCAATACATAGTCTATCACCTGGGTAACTATTAAACTGATCCCCAACTTCCCTTGTGAAGCCTGAACTACAGATCTGAGACTCCCTGCAGACCCCAGACCCTGATACTCCTCTTTCCCTACCCCACCCCCAGACTCAGCACAGTCCCTAAGTGAATTGTGAAGGACTTCTTGTTGCCTAGTGGCCAAGTGGCCAACCTTGACAATTCCTGCCTTGAAAGCTTTATGTCTAAATTAAACGTTACATACAATCCATAACTATACATCAGCAAAGACTATCCAGAATTAAAACAGAAAGGTGAGAAAACACAACTGGTACTGACTTTAAACACAGAAAGCAGTTTGAAGGACTGCTCACAGAGCTGGACCAGCTTAAATTCAATGCTAGAGATAGTAGGCATTTCTGAAGAAGGGTCTAGGCCCGAAACGTCAGCTTTCCTGCTCCTCTGATGATGCTTGGCCTGCTGTGTTCATCCAGCTCTACACCTTGTTATCTTAAATGCAATGCTAATGGCTGCCCAACTGGACTACAGCATCAGGTCTGTTTGAGGCACAGCAGGGTAACTTATGGAGAGAACTTTAAAATATAGGCGAATGTGCAAGTGAAGTTTGGGAATTGGATGAGGTAGAAAGTAGAGACGAAATAAGGGAGAGTGTGTAAACAGAGAGGGAGGAAGTAGCAGCAGAGAGAAAACTCTGAAGTGGAAATGGAGGTGGAAGGCAGGGAAGCAGGTGTAGGTGGGTGACAAAGAGAGCCGAGGAGGATGGACTGGGTGAAAAAGGACAAAGAGAAGGAAGTTGGTGCAGAATGGTGGAAGGCAAGCAGAAAGAAGAGGGATAGAATAGATCAAGTGAGGAAGGAGAAATGGAGCAAGAGAAGGTAAACAGTTAGGGAGAATGGAGGTGAGGGAAGGAGGGAGCAGATCAGGGCGTGGGCTTGATGTTTAACATGATGCAACCATGTTTGGGAAATCCTCTCAGTAAATTTGGGGTAGTGAGAATGCTAATAGGTGAAAAATTCAGCTAATTGGGATGAAGGTTTTCAATTCAGATCAGAGATCTGGGGATTGAGGTCACAGTCAGCCAGATAGTAGGAGGAGATATAATAGTAGCTAGTGGTGTGGGAAAGAATGACAATTGGGAAACGTATTTGGAGAAGGGAAGATGCTATTGATATGGAAATCAAGTAGGCTGGGGAAACTTAGAGTAATATATTCAGGTTTGTTGATTATACAAAACCTAGCGAGAATGTAATATCTGAGGAGGTCACAAAGAATCTGCAGAGAGATATACATAGGTTAGGTTGGTGGGGGACAAGATGGCAGAAGCATATTGAGAGAAAATGGAAGGTGTTCACTTTGCTAACAAAAACAAAAAAGCAAAATCACTTTTATAAGACATGGAACTTTTAAATGGTGATGTTCAGAGATATTTGGAGGTGGTGATGATCCCAACTATGAGAATACTGGGCCAACTGGAGTTTTTGTTATTATCCAATTCTAGAAACCATAATTTTTTTTGAGAATAGAACAAGTAGAAGAAATTAAGCAAAATTTCAGGAAATGCAAAAAATAATATTTATTATTCAAACTTGAATAAATGAAATTTAGTCAATAATTACTAATGGAGGTTCTAAATAGATAAGAATGAATTCTAAGGTTTTGGAGTAGAATGGATAAGAATGAATTAAACTACATAAGCTTTAAGCTGTGTATATATTGTGGAACAATCAGGATTTCTATACGATAAATGAGTTAACAAGCAAACTGCAGTTGCACACCCCACAGATTGTACTGTAAATGACTGATAATAACAACCAGCTATCAGTGTGTCATCAAATCTCACTGAAGTTCTAGCTCCTTTGCAAGGGATTCCAATTCTTTATTTTCCAAGAACTAGTCTTGGAAGACCCTCAAATGGTCTCTAACTTGGACTGTTTCAAGGACTGCTCCAGTCTTGGTGGTTTAACCTCTTCTCCCAAGGAAGAGATCCCCAGGAATCCTTCGACTGCTCCCAAATGTCTAATCGGAGGTTCAATTTCAACCCTGATCAAACAGCCAGCTTCACCGAGCTGCTGCCGAATTTTTCTCAGCTCCAATCTTTCTCAGCTGCATTAAATAAATTCCACTTGAGAGTTTCCTACATTCCACTCACAGCTGCACTGGATTATAGATAGTAGGAACTGCAGATCCTGGAGAATCCGAGACAAGAAGGTGCAGGGCTGGATGAACACAGCAGGCCAAGCAGCATCACAGGAGCAGAAAGGCTGACGTTTCGGGCCTAGATCCTTCATCAGAAAATATCTTCTTTTCAGCCCTAACTGCTTGAAGTCTCCTAACAGCAACACTCGTGCACCTGGAGCTACCTCTGCTGTAGCGCTCTCCTAGCTCCTGAAGTTGGGATTTTCAGCAATTATAAAGTTAAAATGATTCTCAGTGCCAAGCACAAGTAAGAACACACTGAAGCTGCAAATGTGGAAAGGGAAAAGAAGTAAAGGGGATATTTGATGGCTTCAGGTTTCAATATATGCCAGATGCCTGCATAAGATATAAAGTACAAAGTTCACTGAGTACATTGGTGTGTTCTCAAGGACCTTCATCTACACTTGCTGGTAGTTGATCAGTGTTCAATGTAGATGGAACTATGAGTGTAATGCAATTAGAATAGTATATGACGGGTTTGAAATCTTTGTACGGTTGGAGAGGTCTGGTTGTGTTACAGTTGAGATTGTTTTGCCACCGGTGTAAATAAGGGTTGTTTGACATATCAGTGCAAAGACCTGGTGTCAAGTGTATCCATAGAATCCCTACAGTGTGGCTATTTCAAATACGCAATTAAAGCTCTAGCTCCTTTGCAAGGGTTTCCAATTCTTTATTTTCCAAGGTCTAGCCTTGGAAGACCCTCAGAAGGTCTCCAACTTGGACTGGTTGGACTGCAAAATGGCATAGTCGGTAAGATACCAGACAGATGGAGAAAACGGTGAAACTCAGTCACTATGTGAGTATGTTTAAATTACCGCACTAAGTTAGGACCAGGCAGAAGACATTCCGAGTCAGCCATCCAGACCTCCAAACCTGCAGGTCTTGTCAGTACATCAAACAGTCTGGAGTATTGGTTCTTGGAGTCTGCAACAGCAGCACTTTCCTAGCTCCTGAAGTGGGAAACATTTACTGCTGGATACATAAAAATATTTGAATAACCTCACATAGCTGATATGAGCTGGCAGTAACAATCCCGCTCCATGACCATGCTAAAGTGAAGCAGGGATGTACTGCTGACAAACAGGGAAAGGAAATCCAGAGTGAGTGGGGACCAGAAGGATTCCTAAAGCAGTACTTCGTTATTAAAAACTAATTAAAAACATTATTAAGCTAAATCAAAAACTTAATGACCAACCTGTAGAAGGAAGGAAATGGTGGGACTCCGAGAAAATAGAGACGAAAAATGCAAAAAGTTATCATTCCAGTAACTTACACATACTGTGCAGTGATAAATGGACAATTGAAACAGTAAAGAAACATGGAAGCCATGGCATTAATCATGACCCTTAAGGGGATGACATTGACAGTAGGGTATTTGGGCGCAGGGGCGTAGCGTACGGAATGGGTGATGACAGGGACAATGAGGGGAATAGGCCAAACCCTTCTGATAAACAAGAAAATGTGGCACCCATTAAAGTCGAATTCATCTCAGATGTGCCATTGGCGGCTACACTGCCAAACATCCTGGCTGCTCCTGCAGCATAATTCTGAAGAAAGATCACTGGACCCGGAACATTAACTCTGATTTCGCTCCACAGATGCTGCCAGACCTGCTGAGATTTTCCAGCAATTTCTCCTTTTGTTTCTTATCTTTCAGCAATTTTGTTTAGGGGTCAATGCTGGGACCTTTGTTATTTATTATTTAAATAAGTGATCTGGATGTGAATGTACAAGGCATGATTAGTAAGCTTGTGGATGCTACAAAATTCATAGATATTGTTGATAGCCAGGAAGCTTATCAAAAATTACAAGAGGGATCTTGATCAGATGGGGAAGTGGGCTGAGGGCTGGCAAATGCAATTCAATTCAGATAAGTGTGAGGTATTGCACTTTGGAAAGTCAAACCAAGGTAGGACTTATACAGTAAATGGTAAGGTGACAAGTGTTGTGGATCAGAGGGACCTAAAGTACATAGTTTGTTGAAAAAGGTGTGACAGGTGGACAGGGTGGTGAAGAAGGCATTTAGCATGCTGGCCTTCATTGGTCAAGACATTCGGTAAAGGAGTTGGGACGTTATGTTATAGTTGTATAAGTCGTTGGTGAGGCTGCATTTGGAGAATTGTGTACAGTTTTGGCCACCCTGTTATAGGAAAGACATAGTTAAACTGGAAAGTGTGCAAAGAAGATTTACGAGGATGATGCCAGGACTGGTAGGCCTGAGGTATAGTGAGAGGTTGGCCAGGATAGGGGTGACCTTATTGAGGTGTATAAAATCATGAGGGGCATAGATAGGATGAATACATATAGTGTTTTTGCCAGGAATGGGGAATTGAAAACTAGAGGCCATAGATTTAAGGTGAGAGAAGATAGATTTAAGAAGGACCTGAGGGGAATCTTCATCACGCAGAGAGTGGTGTATGTATGGAATGGGCTGCCATGAGAAAGTGGTTGAGTCAGCTACAACAGTAACATTTAAAAACATCTGGATAGGTACGTGGATGGGAAGGGTTTAGAGGGATATGGACCAAAGACAAGCAATTGGAACTAGTTGAGTGAGCACCATGATCAGCATGGACCAGTTTGGGCTGAAGGGCCTCTTTCCAGCTGTATTACTCTATGGCTCTATTGGCCATTCTATGAGTTCAATGACATAGATGCCTCAAAAGTGTAGTTCAAAATAAATTCACGTTTCTTCTGTTGAGTGATCCATTTTGTGGGAACTGTACCTAACTGCAGTACACATTTACTGCCGAAATCAGTAAATCATGCATTTAAAAAAACCCCTCAATTAACTTCTACAGCAGAGAAGCAGAATTTTCCAGATTTTCATCATGAGGCTTTCTCTTTTAAAGGAAAAATATTCTTCCAGACGACCTTCTCCTTTATGTATAATTATCAACATTAATTTCCCCATCTCAACACATGTATGACAATTTACATGAAAGAATAAAAATCCATGCAGTTCCCAATTAAGTTGGAATTTGTCTCAATCTATGTTCAATCATACCTTCTGGTGGTTCCAAACTCTTTGGCCCCAAAGGCAGAAATCCTTCCAAAGCCCATTCGATCATCTGTTTGGTTTGGGCTTCCACATTTTTGGCAGTATCTAACTCATCATTCCCAGAATGTGTTGGAAAGAGTTTTCCTGCTCTGTTGCTTGCCACCTAGTTCAAAATAGTAAACTGAACAGTCAGGAAAATCATTTGGTAATCTGAAACCTGAAGGTGCAGCTTACATTGCTGAAGATACTAGTCCCAGGCAGCAATGCACGCTGGGATGAAACTCTAGGAGGTTACTTGTGTACAGCTAACACAAATCGCAATTTTAAATTATTTATACAAACTACTTTCCTTCACAGTGTGAGATAGTAAGAACTGCCGATGCTGGAGTCTGAGATAACACACTGTAGAGCTGGAGGAACACAGCAGGCCAGGCAGCATTAGAGGAGCAGGAAAGCTGACGTTTCAGGTTGGGACCCTTATTCCCAACCTGAAATATCAGCTTTCCTGCTTCTCTGATGCTGC